GAGTAGCCATAGCAGGGAGGTAACTTATATTAATGGTGGCAGCAAATGCTCAGTTTGGCTAGGACATCAACAACCAATATGTCAATGGATTGTGGTATTGCATATGTGTGAGTGGCTCCTATTTGTGAAATATGTGGCATGAGTGTACTATACTAACCTCTCAACTGTAATCTTGTTTTCTTGTTCATCTGGATTCAGTTTGTAGTTGGGATCTTTGGAGATTGGATCCTTAATACATACTAATAAAGTCCTGCCTTGCTGCAACGCCAACTTTAGGTCATTCTAGAGTAATAAAATCAAACATAAGATAATTATTAGTCATATACAGAGTGACTGAAGACACGGAGAAACATACTTTGTGTCACTTTTATAGCAGATCAGAGCCATTTGGCTCATTTGCACATAACATTTAACATTTATTTATTCCCAAGGAAATCCAATGTTCACCTGAAAAATGTTCGTCTAACAATTGCCTGCAAGCCGGCTCTACTCATTAGGCAAAATATGGCAACGTTAACATTCACTGAATCATTTTTTTTTTTGTGTACTTTGCTAAAAATAACCTTAAATTTGCATAATGCCTAATTTACAAATAACCACAGATATTCATGGCTGTATGTTTGTGGCAGTCATTACTGCTAACAGTTAGAGGCATATCTCAACCCAGATCTGTTATCAATTTCAAATATGGATTAAAACCTACATTTATCCTACTCATATAATTGAAAAAAACGCAGTTCATCTACTATACCTTTAACATAAAATAGTGTGCTGTTTCCTCTAAATGAATCATAGGGTTATCGCCAAATGTTTCTGGTGTCATGCTATTTCATTGATACTCTTGCATTTGCTGTTGTGGCAATGCAGGTTGCACTGTATTTTCATGCACGACCAAAAATAAAGATTTACAACAAGAAAAAAACTTAATTTATTTGGGGACAGGTAGCCATAAGTAATGTATATTCCCAGTTGCACAGTATACTTGAATTCAACTGAAGAAAATAATACATCGCTCAACCAGGCTTCTGCTCCACTGGTGCTTGGGTGCCATTTAAAATCCATAGTTCAATGAAAATTCAATGAATATTAAAGCCACTTTCATCCATTTACAAAAACAAAGTAAAAACAATGTCAATGAGTGTCTGCTCTGGTGAGGAGTGTTCACTAATGACTCTAGTAAATTATTGGAAATTTCAAAATTAATACTCTTAGCCTAAAATAGTCAAAATAAAAACATTAGCTGACTTGAAGATTTTCTTTCCCCAGACCTGCTATTGTGGTCTAAAATGTACAATTAAAGGGTTATAGTCACCAGAACTACAGCTTTTTGTATTTGTTCTGGTGAGTATAATCATTCCCTTCTGGCCTTTTGCAGTAAACACTGTGTTGTCAGAGAAAAGGCAGTGTTTAGATTACAGCCTGGGTATACCCAGGGGCGTTTTAGCCGCGAGGCAAACAAGACATCATATTCCGGCTCCCAGCCTCACTCTGCAGCGCGCGAGGGAGCTGAGCACACAGCTCAGGGGAAGAGCTCCCTCACCAGCAGCCCGCCCAGCAGCCACTGGACCCCAGGGAGAGAGGGAGCCCCCCAATCCACCAGCATTCCCAAAGGTAAGGAGGCTGGAGGGGGGGTTAAAAAAAATACATGTGTTAATGTGAGTGAGTGTGTCTGTTAGTGTGTGTGTGAGTGTGTCTGTTAGTGACTGTGTGTCTGTTAGTGAGTGTGTCTGTGAGTGTGTGTGTGTGTGTCTGTTAGTGAGTGTGTCTGTTAGTGAGTGAGTGTGTCTGTTAGTGAGTGTGTGTGTGTGTCTGTTAGTGAGTGAGTGTGTGTGTCTGTTAGTGAGTGAGTGTGTCTGTTAGTGAGTGTGTGTGTGTCTGACTGTTAGTGTGAGTGTGTGTCTGCTAGTGAGTGAGTGTGTTTGTGTGTGTGTGTCTGACTGTGTGTGTGTGTCTGACTGTGTGTGTATGTTTGCCTGTGAGTGTGTGTGTGTCTGCTAGTGAGTGTCTGCTAGTGAGTGTGTGTCTGTGTGTGTCAGTGAGTTTGTGTTTCTGTTAGCTAGTGTATGCGTATCTGTCAGTGAGTGTGTGTGTGTATTTAGAAGGCGGGGCGGGGGGAAGGGATGGGTGGGGGTCGCGCGCGGGGGTGGATTTGGGGGCGCCTGAGTTACACCACTGGGTATACCTCCACTGGCCAATCCTCAGATGGCTAATAGAGGTGCTCCCTGGGGCAGTGCTGCACAGTGTGCACTGGCCATTCAGTGTCTCCACCCTTCACTGTGCAGTACTGCCATTCAGTGTCTCCTCCCTCTGCATGCAGACACTGAACTTTCCTCATAGAGATGCATTGATTCACGTTGATCCAGCACGCAGTACTGTGTCACACCTAGGACTAAGGATTACGTGTAACCGGACCTTAGAATGGCTGGACTTAACGTCTCCAAGAATAGTCAAAATACTTCCTGAGGTCAGGGACACAGAATCAGACACAAAGATGAGGGAAAACCAAAGAGGGATACCAGATGAGGGATACCAGATATCAGGAAAGTCAAAACAAATTCAAATACCAGAAAATCAAGACCAGGAACGCACTCTCAGATAACCATAGGCACCAAACCACGACAGGGCACTGAGCAAGAGGTGAACTGGGCCTAAATACCCCTCCTATGGATCCAATTGGCTGTAACCGGCCTTTGATCCCAAAGGCAATTACCAGGTTTCCATTTGCATGATTGCTGCTCAGCACAAACCCTCCTGTGGATTTGATTGCTGCTCGGCACAACTTTTCCTGTCAGGACAGTAATGTTGCTTGGCACAACTTTTCCTGTCAGGACAGTAAATACCATTAACCAAAATTTTATGTGCAGATGAATACGTAACAGCATCTCTATGAGTAGATGCTGATTGGCCAGGGCTGTGTTTGACTTGTGCTGGCTCTGCCCCTGATCTGCCTCCTTGACAGTCTCAGCCAATCCTATGGGAAAGCATTGTGATTGGCTCAGAGAATAACTTCTGATGATGTCAACCAAGCAGGCAGATCAGGGACAGAGCCAGCAGCTACAGACTTGACTAAAAGTAAGATTTTACTATTTTAAGGGGGAGCAATGGGGAGCCAGGCGAGCTAGATTGTTATTTTAACACTATAGGGTCAGGAATACATGTTTGTGTTCCTGACACTATAGTGTTTCTTTAAATTTCAATTCACATTGAATTCAGGATAATTCACAATTTAGTGAATAACCCTGTGTGTATGTTGTAAACACTACTGGCAGCACATAAATGTTTATAAAAAGTTATATTCAGCACGTACTTTAAGCTTGTCTTGTTTTTCCGTATGTGACAGAAGCAGCTCCTCTGTGCACAGAACATCATTGGGTAACTCGGTCTCCGCAAGGCTAGTTCCAAATGTCTGCAAATTCTGGGCTGTTGTTTTCACAACTTGTGCAAAGCTTTCGATGGCCTATAACAGAAATAGAATCATACACAAATCTAGACACAGATCTAAAGTTTATTCACTAAACCGTCAATTGTAGTGAACTAAAAACAAAATTTTAAAAAGCTGATGTAAAAATAATTCTCTAACTCCGTCATCGTCACAGCTTGCGATTTTAGCCTACATTTTTCAATTCACGGCAAGATCTGTGCATAGTGAATAAACCTCTTAAAGTTGTGTATGTATATATATATATATATATATTAATTTCAAGCTTAGTCTATTGTATAATAGCGCAGAGATGGCACAGTGATAGTTTAATAGGATGTAAAGTTCCGAAGGGCTGTCTGTCATTTTTGCACCCGGTACATTGACGGGTAAATGGAAAACACTTACTGTTCGATGCTGAATCCACTGACTATGGCTATATTCCAGGTAGCCTCCAAGTTCACTGGTCAACTGGCTTTTGTCAATATGTCCATGGAGATCAGACACTGAGTTTAGCATTATAACCTATTTATAAAGAAAGATGAAAAAATATGCAAGTAGAAAGTCACCTACTAAAATGTACCAGTTTGACAAGTAATATTTAACATGAACATCACCAAGCACAATCTGGTCTAAATTCACATGCAAGTGCGTAGGGAGAGGATGCATTTAATGGTATCAGAAGGATGAAGGAGTCAACTGAACAACTGATAATCACCACTAGATGCACTATGATTAGTAACGAGCAAATACATTTGCATTTCCCCTGAGCTTAGAAAAAACAAACAAAAAAACTAAATAAATAAATGTGGGAAAGGAGGTCTTATCCAGTTTTCTATTGTCTTATCTCTTTTCAAACACACTTTTATTCCACTTAATTCATCCTTATGCTTTGCTTCTGCATTGATTTATTTGTTTTAGTTATTATTTTTTTATTATTTACATAGTTCTACATTAATTTAAACATTCATATTTTCTTTTTTTTCTGCTTTGTTAAGAGCAACAGACCTGGAGAAGTCATGTGAAAACCTATTTTTAACTGCTCAGCTATCTGATTTTACCATGCTTTTTTACAAAACTATACTTTTCCATGACTGTTGTCTAATGAGAATGCAGAATGATATCTTTTTTATGCTGTTATCCAGGATTCAGAATTCTCATTTTAAAGGAGAACTGAAATTACTTTCCAGGATTTTCCCTATGAGGTTTACTTATCACCTATATGGTATATTTTTATTGAGACAAACAGGGTTATTTACTAACCTGAGAATTGCCAGAGAATTCAAAGTGAATTTCAAATTTAAAGCCAGAATAATCAAACAGAAAACAGAACTGACTTCTGGCAATAAGCTACTTTA